AAATATCTCATGGAGTTTCTTATACCAAAGTGGGTTGGGCAACCAAACCATCTAACCTGGCTTAGTCAAAGTTCCTGTTGCATTTTCACCATATGATTCAATAGAGTGATCTCCACCTGCAACTGTACTCTCTATCAGTTTATAGATGTTACCTACAGTGATCTTTTATTTCATCACAGTCAGTGCACCCTTAATAATTCTGATGGTTTCCCTATCCTCATCTGCCTTAGGAATGAAACCATTTATGTGTAGAGTGCCCAAGGAAATCAAATTCTTCTTCAACTCTGTAACATGCCTGACATCACATAATGTTCTAACAGTATTATCATACATCTTAATTTTGACTTTACCAATACCAGCAATATTGCAATGTTTATTCTCACCCAAATAGACTGAACCAGAATCAGATAACATGTATGAAACAAACCACTCCCTGTTAGGTGTTATGTGATAAGAACATCCTGAATAAAAAATCCATCCATCCTTTAATTGAGTTGTTGTAACTGAAAGCACATCACTATCACTGTAATTTATAATGTCACTGTGCACCATATTCACAGCCTTGGAAGATACATCACGAGTCATCTTCTTGAGCATTGAACAATCTCTCTTCATATGTCCTTGTTCCTTGCACTTAAAGAAACAAATCTTCTTGCCTTTAGGCTTTGACCTGGAACTTTGTCTTCCAGAATTCTTCTTCTCCTCCTTACTTTCACGATCCTGATTATGCTTAGCATATAAACAATTACCATGAGAGCTTTCCTTTGCCTTCTGCTTCCGCTGGTTGTGAGCCAACAATGTTACAGTAATCTCATCAATTTTAATTGTTTCTTTCTCATATGTAAGAGTAGTCACCAGATGTTCATAAGAAGTAGGCAATGAATACAAAAGAATCATTGCTCGGTCTTCATCCTCAATATTCACATCAAGTCGTGCCAGGTCCGTGATTATTTGATTGAAGCCATTAACATGCTGCGCCAAATCAGTGCCTGTCTGCATCTTCAACCCATATAACGTTTGCTTCAGATGCAATTTATTCGTCAGAGATTTGAACATAAACTGAGTTTATAATTTTTCTTTTCCAATTTCTTCCATACTTCTCCATACTTCTCCTAGAGATTTCAAATTCATAACATGATACATAATCTCATGTGTCAGACATAAACGTATGGTTCCTACCGCTCGAAGTTGTAACTCTTCCCAATCTTCATCTTCCATATTATCAGGTTTCGTAACTCACAAAGCCTTCAAAATTTCCTAAAATTCCCTGTTGTGCCAACAAATCTTTTACCCTTGTTTTCCACAATCCGAAGTTCCCGGTTCCATCAAACTTCACTATCTCGAATTTTGCTCCAGACATTGCTATTTGAAATTTAATCTTGCGCTGTATTTTCCTGTCTTGCTTCGAAAAATAAAAGAAAATACTCCGCAAATAAATTCAAAGAAACCTGAAATTTTCCTTGTCAAATGCAACAACTATCCCACAATTCTCTTGTGATTCGTGAATCAAATTTTCCCACGAAGCACTTTTCATGTTCATACCAGTACCTCGACCAATTGTTGTTTCCGCGAGCCTCGAATCCCTTCGCACCTGTTCGAGGAATACCTCCATGAAACTCCTGTTCACGAAATAATCGTGTCTGCTTACCTCCTGCGCCCTGCCGAACTCCACCTGTCGCAAAATCTCCTGCTAAGAACCGACAAATTTAACTGGTCAAATTCCTCAGATTTTTCGCAAAACAAGGCTCCTGTTCGCGGTGGGCAGCCTCTATTTCCCACGGATTGTCGAACCTGGCCACATCCT